GGCCGGGCACGCACCGCGCTGCACGCGCCTTGCACAAGCGTGAACGCGCTTTGCACACATACACGCGTCTTGCACGCTCTTGCACACGCATGCACGCCGCCCGCTGCATGCCATGCACACACGTCCAAACATGCATGCACACGCATGCACACAGCCAGCTGCATGTCATGCACACGCATGCTGACGTGCATGCACACACACATATTTAACATACATGCACACAGCTATCTACTTGCTGTGCACACATGTGCTGACCTGAGCGCGCACACACACACACGTTACACACACATGCAGACAGCTAGATGAATGTCATGCACACATCTGCAGACTTGCGCACACATACACATAGCACACACATGCACACAGCTGACTGAACACTGTGCACACATGCATTGCACATGTATGCGCACAGCCAGCTTCAGGTCATGCACACATGTCCCAACCTGCATGCACACACATTGCCCATGCATGCCCACAGTCCGCTACATGCCATGCACACACATCCCAACATGCACAGACATACATTGCACACGCATGCACACATCCAGCTGCATGTCATGCACACGCATGCTGTGTGTGCGCACACACACATATTGAACATACATGCACACAGCTGTCTGCTTGCTGTGCACATGTGCTAACCTGTGCGCAAACACATTACATGTGCATGCAGCCAGCTACATAAATGTCGTGCACACACCTGCAGATGTGTGCACGCATATGCATGGTATATGCGTGCACACAGCCCACTGCATGCCACTCACACTTGTCTCAGCATGCACGCACACACATTGTACACACATGCACACATCCAGTTGCACGCTATACACACGGTTGCTGACATGCACACATACACACACATGCACACAGCCAGCTGCATGCCTTGCACACACATGCAGCTGTGCATGCACACAAAATTTCACGTGCATGTATATAGCCCACTGCATGCCATGCACACACTTGCTGACATGCACACATACACACACCCAGCTGCATGCCATGCACATGCATGTAGATGTGCGTGCAGACAACACTGCACATGCATGCACACAGCTGTCTGCTTGCTGTGTACTCACGTGCTGACATGCACGCACCCACACACACATTGCACAGCAAGCACACAACTGGCTGCATGCATATACATGCCAGACTGTTTGGCAGCCCTTGCCCAGACACTAGCAGATTTACTGCATGCAATGTGCTTGGCTGAGGAAGAGAAGGAGGAGGAGGGGAAGGGCCTAGCTCATAAGGAACTGCCAACTCCACAGCATCTGATTTTGGAGGAGAGGTATCCCCCACTCAGGCTGCATTTCTGCACAAAAAAGGTGCCCAACCCCACTGCGCCAGGCCTGAGGCTATGCAAGGAGGGTACCAGGCTCCACCATGGTCCCCATGCAGCCTCCGGGCTCTCAGTGTTTGTGGGAGAGGGACACTGCTCTTCCCTTTGCCTGCTCCTGGTGTTTCCAGGGAGGCTGGAATGTCAGAGCAGCAAGCATGGGATGGGAGCAAGCAGTATCCTGCGTTTCCACCCCACCTTGTCCCAAGCTTTCCAGCACGCAGTGATCCCAGGGAACAGAAGATGCACACAGCCACCACCATAGCTCCATCCCCTCCTCATGGATGTGAGGGCTCGCCCCGCTCCTTAAAAAATGATTTCACCGAGAAAAGGCTTAATGATCTTTAATGCATTTAATCTGAGATTAAAAATGAGTGTTTTTTTTTTTTTGGTGGAATAGGGGGAGGAAGGTCTCACAAACCCTTCACCTGGCTTTTCCTCTGGGATTTCTGCTAAGCAAAGACAGCGCCTTGTGCTGCCTTAAATTAAAATGTTAAAGGATGAGATTAAGGGAGGCCCATCTGGGAATTCCACATTCTTCCCATCAGAAAAGACATGGCATTGCTGAAGAGTAATAGGATATTATGGCTTTTCCTCTCTTTTTCTCCCTCTTCCTTTCTCCTGGGTCTCACCCAGGAAAGAAACATGCCTTTCCCTTTGGGAAAGCTTGGAAAAAAGCCATTTCCCAATGGAAATTCCAACTCTTTTGGAGTTTTGCATTAGTGAGAAGGACGCCGGCAGCACTCTATGCTTGGAATAACCCATCTAGGTCCCACCGAAGTGGGCAGAGGGGAGAGATCATGATGTAGAGCCCAAACTCCTCCAATTTAGCATCATCTCCCATCCCCAAGGAAATCCCACTCCTGTTCCCTGCTGTATCCTGGCCACTTCGGAAATTAATTGCAGGGAACTCCAGCTCTGGAGGCTGGAACTGCAGTCAGGCGCCCTGTAATCACAGCCTGGGCTGGACTGCGGAGCTGCCCAGCACGTTGCCGCCTTCCTGGTGCGGTGGTGGTGGAATAACCCTGATGCTGCATTTCCAAAGACAATTATGGGAGCAGCGTTAGGACACGAGGGAAGATTACAGGGAGGGGAGTAAACCTGACGTGACTGCACGGGCTGGGGCAGGACTCCCTCATTACTGAAATATAATCCGGGCTTTCCATATATTCTAGCGAGATCTTTCTTCGGAGTTAAGGATCAAAGCCTGGAGGAGAGCCATTAGCTGAAGGACCTGACCTTCTGCATAACAGAGTACTCGTGAGGACCTTGCACTCGGCCTCGTCACCCAGCTGGATAAAGCTCTGCCCAGAAGAGCTGCTTGGCCGAATCTGGACACAGATCCAGCTGGAAAACGGCTGCTTCATTTGGCACTCAAGATGAAACTTCCTTGTGGGTGACCTATTTCTCTCCGGAACTGGCCTAAGTTCAGTTCCAGCCTTGCTCCCTGCTCTGCCTTCCTCTCCTCTCCTGGCAAAGTGAGGTAGATGGATATGAGCGGCTCGGACATGGCCGCCCCAGCGTGGAAGTCAGCTAGTGAAGCTCAGGTGAGACGCGCTAACTCTAAGCACCGCTCTCATTCTTGCACTTTGGATTTGGGTCCTCCTTGCTGTAACTTTAAGTGCTCCAAGGTAGGGGACACATTGCCAGCAAAGTCCCGTCCCAGATCATATCATGTAGCACAGCCTCCATGCATAATTTTAGCTGGTTGGTGCCCATTTCATCCTAGTCAGTCCAGCTTCCACCAGTTTCCATGTGATTATATCTTGCTCTTTTACCCACCGATGTGCAGTCCCTTGGCAATGGCATAGTTGCCCAAAAGCAACATTGCCCATGGGAGACCAGAGTGGGAACGGGAGCACGGGCCACATCTTTTCCTAGATACCTTTGTTCTTGCCAGTGATGTGGCATTTTGCAGCATATAAAATATGAACCAGTAGCACTTCTAATGCAACATTTCTGACTTGACTTGGGAAAGAAATAACCAGTTACCCAGCTCATGGGATGCAATAACATCCCTGCAGCCACTGCTCTGCATTTGCTGAGTCCCAGTGCTCTTGAAGGAAGGAGACAATGAGATGGGCTGAAAACCAGGACCTCTCAGCAATTGCTTCAGGGCCTTGGAGAGCGGGTTGCTGTGAGTCCTGGAAAGTCAAATGCTGGTGCTGTCTGCTTCGCCTGCAGCTGGGGATGTGCATTCTAGCACATCCCTCGTATTGTACACTGCGTCTCAAAGTGCTGGATCGTCCCTGCTCCCTGACCCCACAGATTCCAGCTGGCAGTGCAAAAATGCATCTTTGGTGGGGGAAGATGCTGTGACCCCATAGTCTCACTCATGGAGCCATTGCCCCTGGGACAAGCCACTTGTTAGAGGATTTGCCTTGAGTTTGGACCTGCCATCCTGCTCTGTTGAGAGGTGCATCTGCATGTGCAGAGGGGTGGGCTATCCGCAAAGCCTGGTGTGGGGTCTCCTAAGGATGAGATGCAGAAAAGGCAGACTGCATCTCATCCTGAGGACGCAGGAAGGGACCAACAAGAGAGACGTGAACCTGAGCTCCTCCAGGGGATCCTGGCAGGAGGCAGATGCAAAGGAAGAAGGTGCTGGTCCATCCAGGCAGCAAGGAGATGCAGGGACCTGGGCTCAAGGGGATGTGGGTATAAGCCTCCACGTAGCATTCTCTGAACCTGTCTGAGCCGACTGTTCCCAAAGAGAGAAGCTCTGGAGCAAGTCTGGGCTCATACGTTCCCTGAAGCATGAGACAGATATCCTGCCAGGGCTGCTCAGATGCTCGCAGGAGGGCAGAGTAAAATCTGCATCGTCTAATGAAAAAATCTGCATTTTGGCTAAGGAGTCAAACTGCCTGAACTCCTGAAGTGAATGATCACCCATATTATCTGGGTTTGTCTTATATCAATTAGAGATTAGTTTGAGAGAGCCTGAAATAAGCCCCTTAAGGCCAAGAAAGCACCTCTGCAGTGGGGCAGAAGTGACTCACTGGATTGACTCTCTGGATGAATAGGCCAAAACAATGTAAACCCATTCTCCATATCCTGGCCTGGCTGCGAG